AGCAGATGCCTTTACTGGTAGCATGCAAACACGGATACTGAAGTAATGATCCGCCATCTCCCATACCTCTCCTTTCAAACTGCGATGGCAGGATAGGCTATCATTCCTGTACAAGCTAATAAGAACCGGCTGAATTGAATGCCCCGGAAGGACGCTGAAAATATTTGACCACCATTGCTTAATAACCATCTCTTGAGTGAAGTACATCGACTTTGTATTAAATGAGACAGTACGAACTCGCTACGCATAGATTGCAGAGATAGCCTAGGTCACCCAAAAAAGACGATTTAGATCGTTTGGGCACTTTCCCCGGCGTTCACTCCACGAGCGCAGTGTTACCACTCAGGATGCGACAACATAACCCAGTGAGACACATCGAAGCGGGGCTCAACATAATTCATCAAGACATGAAAGCGGTCGTTGGATTTTTCGGTATTCGTAGTGCGTCCGAGTCTGCGTGCATGGAGGTACGGTTTGGGATAGCGGCGAAGCCGGCCAGCTCAGGCATGACCACAACCGTACCAAACAGAGTTAAGTAGAACTCTTGAAAACTTGAACGTTTGGGATTAAGCGCACAGTAACTTGTAAAATAGATTGTACCTATTCCCGTATAATACAACCGCCGCGTCCGCCTAGGCACTTACAGTAAGTGTCCTATCACTTACAATTTTAATAGCGATTCTGAAAGATGATTTTGACTGGTTTATTTACATGAGCTTATTATACTGACCAATATACAAAAGGCTGCAAAATGATCGTACTGACCAAAAAAGGCGAGTTCCACGACATAAATAGACAATAAAGCTGGAGCACTAACATTCTTCGTCTGACGTTTCGGATACCAGTTCAAACCCATCATCAGAGACAGCATCAGTTAAGAGTTATTCGTACACAGGGAGTTACCGCATTTATAGAATGCAATAGCCGAACTGCTGCATACCTATGAAAATTAACTGGTCAGCTCGCCATCAATGATTATTGCCCTTTGTTGCATTAATGACTTGGTGGCCAGCATGCAGGTCGTGACTGCTGAAATATTACCATTTGTTTTGGACATTGGCCTGATAATTGCTCGGACACCTGGCGTTTGAAAGTGTGTCTGCCTGCGTGCTTTCCTAGGGCCTGATTTATTCGGCCAATCCAAGTCTCAGCACCGAATAAGGGTCGGTTTGGTTAACATTACCGGATATAGGCCAACTACTGTATTTTCGAATTATGCTTTTTCGTGCGCAGTGGCAGTCCTCTGACAAAATTCAACATTGCGAATTCCTAACCGCACCAAACTACCGTGATGAGTCATACTTTCTTCAGTATTAACGAGCGCACACTAAATATCGATGGTGTAGAAGGACTGTGAAGATCTGGTTTTCGGAATATTCTGAAGAAGAATAGACGGAAATGTGTGCAGCTCACAGCTGCCCGATTTCTGCTCTTTTTATGAAGAGTTTTATCAGGAAAGCAAAGAATGCACTTGCCTGATCAGTCTCGCCTGATTTTTGTGGCACGGTTTAACGAGTAGGACTTCCAGGCGACGCACGAGACAGTTGCTGGCGAAGATTAAACGAAAAAGAGGAATGATTAGAAGAGAAAGAGGAAGGAGAATGAGAAGGGGAGGAGGACAAGGGGGATAGGGTACAAAAAATAGAACTACCAACAAAGGGGGAAAACCATCAGAGATGTTTAAGGCTGCTTCCCCAAAAAGAGCTGGCATGTGCTCACAAGTGAGTATGTCCTTAACGACTATGGCCGTTTCAACCAGATTCATTGTATGTTTCGAAAAACCGGTGGGGCACTTTGGTAGTCGGAGTCAGTAAGTGTACGAAGACTTCAATATTAGCCCTTATTTTCATTTCTGTTTTATTGAGGGAAAGATAGAAAACGCATTTAAGCTACTTTTTGTAACAAAGTGACTAAGAAATGCATTGATGCAGAATAAAAATTTAAAAAAATCGTCGTCTACACAGAACCAGCCGTCGGTTAGTCGACTCACTTAGTACTAGTAATATAAATACATGCAAATTGTCTATCTCGTTATTGAGAAGATATAAGCATGTCCAGTTTGCTCTAAAATGAATTCATACAGCTAGAGAGAACGACATCTTCGGACAGAGCGTTCCACGCTGCAACCATGCTGTACGCGGAGGCGGCAGTTGAGTCCATCGATCTTGGCTTTGCCTGGGTGCAGTTTTAGGGACGTAATAGCCTGGATGAAACAATTATCTGGTTGCTTAACTCCAAAAAACTGCAGTGTAACGTGGTAAGTCTTTTATTTGGTATGACGTCGGGTTGATGAAAGCAGTCCGAAAATCCACAATTATGATTCGATTTATATGTTATTTTTCATAAAATGTCTTGGAATGTATACCACTACTATTTGCCTATATGCGGTAGGAATACCATCCCCAACTTTAATGAATCACGATTGAAAAAAAACATGAGCAAAGGTGACGGAGCAGAGATGCTTATTTTCTTCTCCAAACAGCCACTTCTTATCTATGGGGCGATGCATCCTGTGGATGATTTCTCAGTGTTCACGCATTCGGCAAGCACCTGGAAATTACGGACCATAGTTTACTAAATGAAAGGAAATGCGCACACTTTCTGGTATAGCGGTTAATCGTCGATGCTTTAGAATAAGGAAGCTTGTCGTCCTGCACATGAATTTTTAGTGTTCGCGTCTTCGGAAAGCACCTGGAAAATAAGGAACGTAGTTTTCTTAATGATAGGAAATGCGTACACGTTGTGATATAGGACCCGGTCGTCGTCTCTCGCGAGGATTTGGCTCTGTTCAAACTTCATAATGTGGCTGCATTTTGTCGGATGGGCCCCGTCCTGAGACTCGGTGTTGTTTCTCTTTACTATTAGCGCACGGTATTTGTCTAGCTTTTGCCGTTACCATCCCTGAGGATGACCCCCTAAGTTAAGTGGTCGAACGGCATTGGTAAAAGGATCAGGCCTTTTCGACAACACTATAAGAAAATAATTACTTCGTGCATATAACATTATGAGCGCCCTTAACCGGCGTTAGCTACCGTT